TACGTTACAACAATGCTGCCATTGACATATCGTTAACTTAGTCTTTGTTCGTGGCCTTGTGTTAAGAACAAAAGTTGCAGGTTTACATTTTCGCAGCGTATTGTTGAAAACAAGCGTATAATTTTACGTCTCACCTTGCTTTACCGCCAAGTTGGATTATTTTTCATATAATGGGTTGAGGCATTAAAGTGTAATAAGTCCACTTTTTACATATGTTATTATTCTACCATAGAATTAAATTATTTTCATGCGCTTATACTCAAGGGAAATTAGTCACTTTCATACTAACACTGTATGCTCATTACCTTTTTCCAATCCCACCACCACCACCTTCACAACTCAAATCCCGTTAATAGCACTTATCCCCTAAAGTCATAATTGTAAGCCTTTTTAACCAAAGTCACAATAACAACACGTTCCAGTCAGCTATCATCCAGATTACTAGTGAATTGTACAACACACTTCATAACTAGAACTCTTACACCTATTTGGCGTTAGGTCTGTAACAGTCCATCTTATGCATAATAAATGAAAAGACGTATTATAATTTCAGCTAACGACCATTTATTTCAAATCAAAAAAGATTGCTGATATTTTGATAAATAAACTAACCGTTTCTAGTTGAAAATAATGATGACCTCATCACCATTGACTTCTGTACACCAACACTGTTAACACTTTGACTTTGGCGAAAAATTGGAACTGCGATAGCAAAAACAAAAGCTTCACTTTGCACACAGTATGCAGTTAGTCCTCATCTTAGCTGACTGTGTGTGTTGTGGTGGTAAAATCCGCCTCTATCTTCTTCAGTGAAAGTAGCACTTGCTACATAGCAGTTTAGTGTGAAGTGCATCAGTGGCACAGAGGTAGAATGCTCGTCAACCATGCAGATGGTTCGGCGTTCGATCCTCGGCCGACACACCTACTTCACCTCGCTAAACCAGTAATAAGACTGGTAAAGAGGGAAGGTTGGGCATGAGGCTAGCAACCCCATCCCGTAAAATTAAACACCACTGCTACAGAAACTTCAAGCTTCTAGCTTGAAGCCCTGTGTTCCACTGGAACGTAAAGAAATAAAAATTTTAAAACATGTTTAGTGTGAGTACTTCTGCAATTGCACAGAATTGGAAATTGTTTATAGCTTCATTCTAATTAAACTAGCTGTCGGCAAGCAAGTGAATCAATCCCCACTCGATTCAGTGTTTATTGGTTCACCTAATGAAGAGACTGGATAGTATCTACAACCAGGCTAGATAAAAACCAGTCCAGTCGAATTAGCAATAGGTCTTTCCTAAATTATGAATGGTTGGTTGTTAGAAACACTCTTTAAAATTACCTTGAAGGGGTATACTCTTCTGGAAAGAAAGAAAACTGACTGAAGACCAAAATGTCATGGTTTGAATTTATGTCATTTTACTGTTCTTGATAAAAAAAGTGATACATATTCACAGCTAATATGATACGTTTTCAGTAAATGACAACTGTTTGCACGTCGTTCAATGTAAGGCGTTAATCTTTGTAAATGACGAGATCTATGCCAGTGATGGCGGATGTGACTTAGCAGATCAGCTGAATGTTTCTTTACTTGTTTACAGACTTTTTCGAAATGTCCTTGACTCAAATATTTTAAAGTACTGTCTTTTGTAGGGGTTTTTGTTTGGTTGGTTGGAGGATTTCATCATGAGCTGACATCAGTTAGAGAACCATTGGAAAACCACAAGGGAGTACTCAACAGCCACCTGTTTCGTCAGCCTAGTTTGTGACTCTTCACCAGTACGCATCCACTGCCAGGGTTCAAACCCTGGACCTCCTGGCTACAAGACCAGCGAGCTCGTAGACCATTAAGCCACTAGGACCTGTCAATCCAATGGCCAGTCCATGAATTCTAACTTCTACCAATTCATGACATAGCGAGACCGCTTCTCAATGTCTTCTTGGATGAGTTACTGCCTCACCTTTAACCTGCTGTACCCTACTGATCACGGTTTCTCACTAGAACCCCAGGTTAACTGCCTGAATAGGGCCAGTCACTAGTGAGCATCAGATCAATTTTCAAGTATTGGTTTTTGTAGGGAGGGATTTTCTTTGACTGGTTGGAGGATTTCATCATGAGCTGACATCAGAGTCCCAAGCACTAGGACGAAACAGCTGTCCAGTACTCCCTGCATGTTTTCCAATGGTTCTTTCTCTAACCGATGTCAGCCCATGATGAAATCCTCCAACCAATCATGTATTTTAAGTAAGTTTTTCATGCTTAGTAGTAATATTGCATTCCTATGATGAATCAAAGAAGACGTGAACCTAAACCCACAGTTATTGCATTTCCATGATGACTTGTCTGTTCCATCATCAATAGTCAGTCACATGCTAAATCCTTTCGATAAGATAGTTGTTGTATACATATATATTGTTGAAAAGAAACTGATCACATGGTATTTTTGCTTTAGTAAGTTATCAATACTATCTAACTGCAACAGACTCTTGTTACATGCTTCACTTAATCTTGTGTGTGTTTTTAAAGGAATAGACCTGAGGCATTTTGCTTTTGGACGACAAAAACTCATAATATTACCAGAGTTTATTATGAAAATTTTTATGCTACGGCGATAATAAAACAACACATTGGTTCATTCATTTGAATAAATATATACATATATATATATATATATATATATATATGATGTAGCTTTTTTCGCAAAAAGCGTACAAAAGATATTTTTAGCGTCTAATTGAATTTATTTCATATTTATGGCTGGTTTATACCAACCTGACCAAGAATAATAATACAAAAGAACTGCCATTTTCGGGAGTTTTGTGGAATAGACACCACGCTTAATGCATAATATTTTGTTCGTCTGACTGTCATTTTCTAATTTTACTTCTGGCACTCTACCGCTGTTGCCTAGCAAATGGTGTTTGCTTGTTTTAATGGTCTCAAACAGTTTTATTAAAGTTTTTAAAGGCTTATACATATATATGTATATATGTATATATAAGTTTAAAGGTGTTTGATGCGTACTCACAATAAACTAACAGTCATAAAATATTGCTTCATATATGCCGCTAAACCGTTGGAAAGCACTACTAAAGACGACATTAATGTTCGGCATAATTCTAAGGTTTAAAATACACTTTTCCTAATGAAATATTAAAGTGTGCTAAAAATAAACCATTTTCTGATCGAATCTTTTAACTGTCTTCATCTGAAAACTGCAGACAAATTGAACTTTGATATTATATTGAAGCGTGTTGCATAATTCGGTGGGCAGGTCTGCAACGTCAACAACCACACATACACATATATCAAGTCTACTTGATTATACAATTGTTAAAATGATAACAGGATGTTTACGGAGTATACCGATTTGGTATTTGGAAATTATTATTGCAGCATCACATAAGTAAATAACTTGTCGATTAAATCTTCACCCATTTATAGAACGGTAGATTGTAGTCTTCGTGTTAAACGAAATTTGGAAATTATCATCTATTTTCACAGGTAGTTAAGTATTATCAGATAAATCTCCTGTGAATCTGGATGTCATTCTATCTCGTCATATATAGCTTTTTATTCCTTTAAGTCCCCAGTGGAACATAGGGCTGTAAGATAGAGGCTTGAAGTTTCGGTAGCAGTGGTGTTTGATTTTCACGAGATGGGGTGGCTAGCCTCATGCCCAACCTTCCCTCTTTACCAGTCTTATTACTGGCTTAGCTAGGTAAAGTAGTGTGTTGGCCAGGGATTGGACCCCGAAGCACGTGCGTGGTCAGCGAGCATTCTAACGCTGTGCCACCGACGCATCTTGTCATATAATTCTTCATTTATTCTCTATTGCGGTCCCTTCAAAAAGTGGCTATTTTTTAAACAGTAAGAATACATCAGTGTTTCCACTCACACTTGTTTTTTTCTCTCACAGTTAACAATTGCTGATAGTGTTGCTGCTGAGGAAACTAACTTACTGTAACAGCTTCCATTTTCCTATGTATAGTAAAACAAGATAGCCACTAAATTTTTCACCTAGATATTAAAATGTACCGACAAAATTGTGCTTTGGTGGCACAGCGGTAGAATGTTCATCAACTAAGCACATGGTTCGGGGTTCGATCCTCTACTGACACACTCCTTCACCTCGCTAAGCCAGTCATAAGACTGACCGTGAAAATCAAACACCACTGCTACTGAAACTTCAAGCCTCTATCTTGAAGCCCTATGTTCCACCAACAAAATGATTTCAGATTAGGTGCGAAACGCTTATTTCTGTGAGCTGGAATAAATAAGCCCACATACAGTCCTTTGATTTTGGTTTTAATTTGACAATAGTACAAAAATGCAGTGTAAGAAAGCTATACAGCCTTGTATAAGAGGGAACCCGTATTCAACGTTTAAATCCTATTTGATAGTTAGTAAATGCTGTGAAAAAAAACAACAACAAAATAACTGAAATGTTCAACAGAACTCCTTCAAAATGAAAAAAAAAATTTAAAACAAATTATTTCTTGTAATTTGTAGTAATTACAGTTACATCGCAGAATTTATCTTAATGTAATTTGAAATGACCATGTACTTAGCCGACATTTCAATTTAACGGCTTCAACACTTTGTAAACGCTTTCAGATTTCAAATTTTGTAAAAGTAGTCAGAATTATTGTGAAATTCACTAAACATGTACTTCATTTAGTCCTTTATGATACAGGTCAACACTATCAAGCAAGTTAATTTTTCACAGTGAAACAACACACCAGTGTCAAGAAAATTTTAAAAAAATTAAATAAAACAAACAAATATTTTGTGTACATGCGCATCAGATAGATAGAGGGAGAAGGGAAAAAAACAAAGACAGAAAACAGGCGAAAACTAGCACAGCTTGTTACATGTTCAAAATGGCTGCATTTCATTTTCATACATTTGGTTCCCTTGATAAATTTCGCTAGAGAAAGAAAGACCACAGAATTTGCATTTCATTTTCCATGTTTTCCATTCTTTTCTTTTTTTTCGCTTTCAGTACACCCTTGTATTGGTTATTGTCATCAAGGACAATGTTACATGATAGATGGGAAACCGTATTGCAGGTGAGCAGTGCTAGTCAAATAATTTTACATAAAATTAACAACTTTTATCATTATTATTATTATTGTATACCACCTAAATGCCATCAAGAATACACACCAGCAAATTGTTTGTTATTCTATTGTGAAGCAACTTCACCTGAACACTGGCAATATCTATCATACAATTGTGTCGATCAGTCTACATAAACTGACTATATCGTTTTGAATGTCAAACAAAATGCACTAAAATCACTCAGCTATTTTTATTATTGTTATTATTACTACTATTATTGCTTTCCTATACTTTCCTTTTCGTAAAACACAGGGAACAAAGAAAGACAATAGTATGAAAAATGCAAGACTGGTAGAACTATGCCTTTTGATATGTTTTAAGTACAGTTTTTTTGGCGGTTAACTTTACCAGGGATATTTACTGGTCTTACTATGACAGGAAAAGAAAAAAGAAGACCACTAATATTTAAAAGTGTAGTATCCTATCAGAAATGACATCTATCAAATGAAATCAAAGTTGACGGATATTTTGTCTTGCATTTGTGCGCATACTTTCGTGAAGACGACAGTTCAATAAGTTGTCTAGGGTTTAGATAACACGTATCCGTCAAACATTATGCTTATTGTCATATATATGCCAGGGAGAGCTGAAAGCATTTTCATAGAAAATGACTGTTTATAATATATATATATATGTAGTAGGTTCGCTGTGTAACATATACGCTTACGTCTACATCAAAGAGAAAGCCCGATTATCACTGATCAAAATTGTATTTCATTAGGAAAGCCTACCGTGAAAAATGTATTTAAAATGTGTAAATTCATCTTCCTGCTGTGAAACTCTTCGGCATCTTACTTTACCTTCTGAACTTCCCCTCCTTACAACAACTTTCGCCTACATCCCTTGTCCCAAGAACTTCATGAGTCGTTCATCTGTTTATGCAACCAATTACCCGAAGACTGTGCAGTGTACATTGCGTACAAATTCACATCAATAGTACACATCACCAAAGAAATTACTATTGTATTTGTGATCATAAACCTGTGCTCATAGTCTGCAGTATTCAACAAACACGGAAAACATAGACTGATATGCAAACTGGACTGAAAACAAAGCGGACAGCTATAAAATCCAGTTATGAATCAAAAGAAAATTCTCTACTGATATTAGAATAGCTAAATATGAGTTTTCAAGGATTCCGGTTTGATCACAAGTTGACAGCAGTTAGAGAACCATTGAAAACCAACATGAAGTACTGGACGTCTTTCTCCTCCTACTTTGGGACCCCGCCACCAGGGTTCGAACCCAAGACCTTCCAATTACAAGGCGAGCTCGTAGACCATTCAGCCAGTAGGATTCGATGAAGATCAGGGAATAGAATAATAACTGTGTCGATTAAAAGAAATTCATAGGAATGTGATTCAGTCATTTGAAAACAAATACCTAATTCGTAGATATTCTCGTACTTATTGACGAAGATGAAAACGGTTTTCACCAGACCGGTGAAAAGCACTCAGGGGTCTTTTCAACTCAGTTTTAAATTAGGAATTAAGAAACTACTCCTTTTTTAAATACTATATTTCAATAGTGAACTGAAATTTTCAATATTCTGCCATTGAAAAACAGTGAATTTCTTCCACTTTTTATCTCAAATTAATAACAGTGCGTGTTTCAAATTCATCTTCAAAACCCTTCTCCCTGAGAACCGCTACAGCCTTCCATTCTAGAATGCTAAAACTGCATACCACTAACAACCAATAAGTTTTTTGAAACTCACAGATTGGGAAAAACACTTACGATGCAATAACAAACAAAACAGGAAGTGAAACTGACAAACAAATAAAAATACCAGCATATATTATACCGCTGTGGACATATAAGTATGTATGTCTTTGATGTACTAGTGTCCAAAGAGACAATGTGCTGTCGATGTCCTATATATATACTTAAGCTGAAATAGAGTACACAATGCATATTTACCCAGTAGTGCAGTTACTACAGAAGTGTATAGTAACTGCTATGAGACCGTATCATTGTTGATTGCATGTAAAACAAGGCAGTTACTGTCAGTAGCATCCTAGTCGGTTTCCAGAGGGATTAACAATCACAAAGTATACTCGATGATAAAAGAAACGGATGTATAATAACTGGGATTTTAGCAATTTTAAAGTTGATGTCAGAAATCACAGTAACCAGGACAGTTAGTAAATCAATGCATTGTCGACGCTTTGCAATTAAAACTCTGATTTGCCCAGAGTTGTCTAATACCACGTCTAATATCATCATAAACTGAAACATGAATGAAGATTAGTGTGAAACTGTTTTGCTAAGTATCTGTTATACATCTCTGAATACATCTTCATACACAATTTATTCATAAATAAAATGACAGATGCTTTTGGGTTGATCGAGTTATTTATCATAGTAATGTGTACATAGCTAATATGCCTGTAAATTGGTACGTTTTAATAGTTTAACGATATGATTTCAAACCGAAACTTCCTGTAGGGACCATCTGAATCCTTATGGTATTCCATGAGCCTGTACTTACCTCGGTCGGTCGGTTGGTTTTCGACATAGAACTTTGCACATATGTGCGGCAGTTCAAGTCGCCACACTCCATGTAGCACACAAAGCAAGAGAAGAAAGTAGGAGGAATGCATTGTATAGATAGTAAACAGAGGTGTGAGACAAAGGAGAAGAGATAACGAAGTACAAAACAGTTTCATTGGAAATCATAAGTCACAAGGAGTGAATGCATCTGCGTCTCGAGAGAAAACGTTGCACAGACATCTGGAGGTTGTATTCAGTGTGTATTTGCAAAAACTTACTTAAACACAGGAAACATACTCAAATCAAAAATGACAGCAGATGTTTTAAAATAACATGCATGGATACTTAGGCGAATATCTGGCAATAAATAGGAACACTTGAAGACAGCTAAAAACCGTAAACACTAAAATAATAAAGTGACGTTAGTGTGGGTGAGTATTCCTCAGATGTGGATTTAAAAAAAGGGGAATTCTGAACTTCGATTCAATATTTGTTGCGTGTGCAAGACACACAAATACTCGTTCACAGATAGTTTAGTAAATATATTTCATTTAAATCACTCAAGAGAAACCGAAAACTAAAAGTATGTCATAATTTTAGTGGATGTGTTGACTAACAGTTGAATTCAGGATAGGCATTTCGCCCTGTTTGGAAATCGTCATCTGCGCATACCTGCATTTTCGTTTCAAGCGTCAGAGAGTTGTTCAACTGACCACAAGGAACAACTGTCGTGCGACGGGTACTAGTCATTATTTGCTTATAATTCAATTTTGACTTTCCCGTTGACTGCTTGTACCGGAGCATTCGACCTCTGTCAATATGGAGGCTTCTAGTACAGACGAAATGCGGATCCTGGATTCCAGTGCTAGTAACTGTCAACCAAAATTACTTAAAGTTAATCATCAGACATTGTCAAGGCATCCGTACTACTACGGAGATGACAAATCATTTGAAGACGAACATCTTAGTCCCATCAGTCAACAGAAAAATCAAAACTGAATTCAAAGTATTTGACCGATGGTTCAAATGATTACCAGCCAACTGTAAAACGACGATTTTCAAAAATGTTATGAATCAAACTGAAAAACCGTAGTTTTAGCGAGCAATATATTAAAGTGGCGGTTGGATAACTTTTAATGACATGGATCCATCCGACAACATACACGGTGAACTGAAACAATTCCTTTTGCCTAAAAGCACTTTGGTTATACATGATCTTTAAATCAGGTTTGATGCAGTGCTTCTTTTCGTTGCTATAAATCTAAAAATCTAGGCAAAAACAAAAATGGAGCTACGAGTAATCTTTTTCAGGTATTGTCAGATAATGATGGGTGTACAGATGTCTTTTCAATAATTTCTCCTCTTCAGGTTCTTACAATTATAAAATTTAATATTTGTTGTCGTTACAATAATGACCAGTTATGTGACGGATACATTTTTTATACGTAAAATAACAGATTAGTTATGGGGTGTCAAAATAAAAAAAGTCGAATTTGTGTGACAAACGTGGTAGGTTGAAATCGACTACAAAATATTGTAAATATTGGGAGACAATGGTAGTGATTAGTCATAATAGATTCGTAGAATGTGCGGTGGGAAAACTGACAAGTCATTGTACGCATAACTGAATTGCTGACCTTTAATTCCCTTATCTTGTTGTAAATGCCAAATGGGCATAAATTTCCACTTCCCTGGAATTCGGAGGCGCGTGTTAAATTGACTTCATGAAACAGTAACTCCTACGAAAATAAAATCGAACGATCTGGTTGCCAAGACGACAAAAGTTTTCCACTCTGATTCCTGATGAACAGCTTGAGTCTGGAAACCATTTCGACTTAAGCAGTACTGTTAGAAGTAGCATTATGCAAACAGCAAAAGTAATAATTACATCTGTCCCGTCAGAAAACAGAATCAACTTAAGAGTTATCTAATGCTGGAGGATTTCATCATGAGCTGACATCAGTTAGAAAACCATTGGAAAACATGCAGGGAGTACTGCCAGACAGCTGTTTCGTCCTAGTTTGGGACTCTGATGTCAGCTCATGATGAAATCCTCCAACCAGTCAAACAAAATCCCTCCCTACAAAACCAATACTTGAAAGGCATTTTATTAATGTGTTGAAAAATAATAACTGCCCAATTTTTAGTGTTCAAGCTTAAAATAACACAACAAAACAAATAAAAATATTTGTCATTTATCCTTTTGACTTTTTCTCAACGCTTCACTTTAGATGTTATCCACAATACTTGGGTGAAAACTGTGAGGTAGTGTAGTGAGCGTAGACGCGTTCGATTGTTTTTGTGCAATTTTGCCTTATATGAATGAATATGCTGACATATAGCTGATGACAAGCAGAATGCTTTTGTTTTCTAAACCAATATTTAATCACTACTGTCTGATGACTTGGCTACAAAATGTATGAATGGATGGATGAATACCTGAAGAGAGGGGAAA